GGTTCGAGTCCCGCCCGTGTCGTAATTTTTTTTTCAATCTAGATATATTTCTAATTTAACGAAGTTCGAACCCACGTTCCATTGATTATAAATAATATATGTCCACTGTTAAACCGCTGCTTTTTATCAGAAGTTTGTAGTCGAAATTAATAATAATGGTTTTTCGCCTAATATACTTTTAGCTGAGTCTTTTAATGCAAGGTCAATTTGTCTGGCATCTAGTAATTTAACTATTACTTTATCGGATACATGAGTATGAAAGGGTGTTGAAGAGTAACAAATGGTGAAGCGCGAGGTGACAGTTTTGATGTATTGAACTCATATCGGCTCTGACTCATGAACGCAATCATCTTCGTCTACTCCGTGTAGTCGGGCGCAGAACACGAACCCGACGTAATAGGGAACGGCTTACGGCACAGCTAGAAACAAATATACGGTAGGTATGAAGGTTAGAAGGGTTACGTTTTTGGACATTTTGTTTTAGTTAACACCCACGAGGTCGAGCGTCGAGCTGTACCTTATTCGTAGTTCAATAGCGGTAAAACTTCCAGCTTTGTGTTTTATTAATAGTTAAGTTAATTACTTAATTTATTAAAACGCCGACTTACAATAACGATAACCTTATAATACCGCCTAATAGAATTTAGGCTTGACAGATAACGATCACGAAATGAGCAACGGTCTTTCCCTATACTTTGCCCGGAAGACCCCGGAGCATAGTTCGAATATTTAGTGCCATAACTATGCCTGTAATCTGACAAAACCGAGCGAACTTTATTGCAGGGCCTTAGAAGGATCCGGGCGAGCCACGTCCGGGTAGGAAGGGCAGTCGACGCACTAAATTTGACCCCGTATTGACCCGCTTCTTATCGCGTCGTCATTTATAAACCTTACTACGTTCCTGCTAAGAATTCTATTAATACAATATTGTTAGATTATGAGTCAACCGAGCGAAATAAATGAATAAGGAGCCCAAGTTTAAGATTAATTTATGCGTTACGGCGAATATATCGTCCCCAAATGTGCCGCCCGTTTGTGTATCCGTCTTTACGAGGACACAGATAAATGTCGCAGCTTAGCCGCCAGAAGGTGTGTCGTTGGCTCGACGTAAGCCGGTGATGTGTAGTCATCTAGTTTGTAACAGCTCCGACAAAAACTTGTCCGTGTTTTAGCAAGAAACAACTGGGCGGTAGGCGATCCTTTGTAATGAGATCTGGTAGATGATTCGTGGCTTATTCGAGATCAGGCCCATTAATGTCCTTTCTCTTTATTTGTTTATCAAGACTCTTATTGATTATAACAGCTTGTTGCCGAATAGCTTTCGGTGTTCCTTGCCTTCTGACAATTATATTTTGTGTGATGTAATAACGTACTTCTCAAGGTAGTAGCACCTACATCGTATGATGACGTAGGTAATTTTGAATGCTTAGCAATAAAAAATAACCTTAAAATTCAACTTATGTTGTTTGTTAAAAGTCCTAAGCTCATCAGACGTAAGGCGAGCTAACTTTCCGGAGAACTAATAGAGCAGAGCGAAAATACGAGACATAATATCATTCCGTCCGCGGTCGTCAAAGTTATCAAGTCGGCGCAAACTAATCGTCGCTCCTCTCAAACTTGCTCGAGCGAGCCGAGAGATAAACTGGGCCTTCGTGTTCTGCTCGTCATCCTCTACTTTCAAACTTTCGCACCGAGTAGCTTATTCTAACGAGAGTTAAAAAATCCTTTACAGTTGTCTGTTTCATTAATGGTATTCGTATTGTTTATCTAACTGTGTTATGCAAATATGTAATATTTTATTTCCTATCCATGTGGCTACTGCTACATATGAATCTCATCAAATAATCGACCATTAACCAGTCACGGCGACCAAACATTTCGATAACTAAAATATAATAATTTCAAAATGGCCGCTAAAGCCATACCAATTTACATGTTTAACTCTATGACATTAAAATGCTTCTGTCAAAAAACCATAACACAAAGGTATGCTAAATTAGGTACTTAAACACGTAAAAAAGAAAAATTATTTTAACAAATCGACGGCTGCTAATTATTTAATTAAAAGCATCCTTAAAGCAACACGCTAATAACGTACACCAAACGCCTCAACGCCTCCACGAATCCAATTATATTAATTTGCATGTAAATCCCGAAAGCGTGTAAATGTAAAAATAAGCAAAAACAAGAACAATAAATCAGTGAGGCAATTATCCCTTCATCCAGTTCCCGCCGCACTGGACCTGGGACCAATTTATCAAAAGAGCAGATGCATTATGTAACACAAGGCCTGGCTTCGTTTATATTGTAGGTTTTGTATCGAACGCTTCATTAAACTGCAACGTCTGATTTAAACTGTTTTAAAGTAATTTCAATTATTGTAATAAAAGGAAACAAAGAATACAATTTCCCAAAAGATAAGTGATCTTTACCATTATTTTTTTTAATGTAGCATCGATAATTGTAAGCTTGAAAATATATTCCTTCTTTTAATTTATTGCGAATAGCGCCATCTAGTGTTCGTAACAGAAACTACGTGGTAAGACGCTTGCGAAGGAATGTGTAGTTCATAATGTGGTTCCTAGGTGGCAGTGAACTTACGCTAAATACGGAATAGAAGTTTTGGTAATGTTACAGTAGATCTACAAAATTGTATGAGATAATTAAATTACATTTGTCTTTTACGTCTGGTTTTATTGCTGTGTATAAGCGGACATGGACAATGATTATTCGATTAACCGCCTTTATAAAAAAACATACCATTCAATACATCAAGTACCTTCAATTGCCAATGGTAATATAATTGTTAAAGTTTCGATTCTGTTCAGCAATCGTTTTATAATTTAAATTTCAGGTGTTTTTGTTTAGAATAAAAGAAATTAGGTTATATTATCCCCACACCCAAATAACTATACTAAACTACCTTGCAGTATGTTTATTAGATTTCTTGGGAAACTCGTAACACTACTTACTATGTCATTTTAGGTAGATAAATAAAGTTACAGCACTATTCTAGCTTCTTCATGATCATTAAACATCCTTAGTCTTTAGATACATTTTGAAATCTTCCGAAATCGAGCGAAATTGTTAATCGATTGAAGTTCCAATCTTCAGAGTTTGAAAGGCAATTTTGAAATGTAGAGGTCGTAAAGTTAGGCATTATCCCCGCAAAATGGCCCTCGGATGGCTTTACTTAAAATATTTTTTTAATGATTCACAGATAACTTTAAAAGCGTTTGTTATTAATAATATCTATTAAATAAAATGATTTTCTCTAAATGCAAAATTTTAACATTGATTATAAGTATTATCACCATAATATTGAATTAATGTGTTCGTCGTATTGGGTTACGCCTGTAGTGATATAATTTCTATAACAATAATAAATTCAACCCACGACAGCTTTTAAAAATTATCTTATAAGAACTATTGTTATGACATCCTAATAAGTTACATACATAATAACATAACATAATATATATAATAACTGTAGATATTCTATTATAATTATTATTTTACGTCAATGTATATTTTATTAATTTATCGCGTTCCGACTGAAAAGTTATGACGGCAAATTAAAATGTTTCTTCTTAATTAGCACTATAGTGCATATGGACATTCACGACTTAAGGTGCAATGTAATGATCACTAAAGCAATTATTTGTATTCAGTACACTTTGTTTCAGATAACTCGGAGCAAATAAGGCGAGATGGCGGCGTTCGTAGCTAAGCAGATGGTGGGCAACAAATTAAGCGCCGTCAAAGGTAAGTCGAGGAAACCCGTTATGCGTTATGGATAATTATGTTTGCTATTCGCATTTTCATATTATTTTGAGTAAAGGTACCTACAGTTTATGTTCAGTTTACGTCAATGTTTCGGTGTTTCGATAAGCGATATCTATATCAGTATTCTACTAAACAAAGGAGCAAAATAAAAACAAAGCAACGATAGGTCGATTCCAAGCAACACGGGACATATCAACGGGAGAAAAATCTCCTAGATATCCCGGGATTATCGGGATCGTGCGGAATCCTTATTTGGCTAATAATATTTGTTACAGCATTTATTGTGACTTGCTGACTTCGCGTACATGCACGAAAGACGCTTAGGCAAACTTATTGTACGAATCAAATATAATACACCGTTTTATTTACAAGTCATATTTTTGGATCATTCTATCGTAAATAAGATCGACCGTGATTAGAGCTAGAAAGAAACTTAATCAAATCGGCCACTCTTTAAAGTCCGCAGCATTTACCAATTCTTACAGATTTTAAAAACGTATTAAAATGTGAATACTTATCATGAATAACTAAATCGATAATAATTCTATAGCACAAAGATTCAGCTGTCTCTGGAGACGAACTCCAGATATTAGACACAGATAAATGTCTCCGGCGAGCGGAGCTAATGAATAAAAACCGCTTAAGTAATGATTTCCCCGCGGGTTCGCTTCAACAAAACATTTCCCTAGAACATTGTTATTGCTTCTTTTCTATCCGTAAATAATAGCGTAACTTTCAAATGCATTAACAATACTTTTTAATGAATATGTAATCGTATGTTCGAACTTGAGTCGGGGGTCCTCGTTCATTATTATATATTACGCTTATTTGAAATTCACACTCGCATTTTGAAAGCTTCTCCTGAAATCTGGGACTAATTTTTGTTTATTTTTTATAAAAAGTCACTCAATTAATACTAGTTTAGTGTCAGTTTTTGGTTACATCGACTGTTAATTTAAGACAAAGTAGTTAGCAAATTACTTAGAATTATTATGTGGCAATAATTTGTTCTACCGTCTGCCCCAAAATTATAATGGTATAATAAAAGGCACGGGAGTTAAATATTATCGTATAATTTTATTGAATAGGTATATAAAAATCTTACATTTAATTCTTATTAAAAACTAAAACTAGAATTATTGTCACATCGGTATGGAAGACGGTATGGTATGAACTGGAAGACTTAATGTGCTAGAATAACTTAATTGACTAATTTAATCGCAAAACTCCATCGTGTATTCTTTATTGTGAAACCAGCTGATCAACACTCTTTTTCTCATTCCCTCGCAATGGTTCGGGCTAAACCTGTCCCTGTCGCATTCGGCCACGTACGCTCTTTTGATTTTATCTTCCTCTCCCGGGAGAAGACTTCTTCGTCTGGATTTCCTCTTGAGTTGCCTTATGCGTTCCGCTTGCGACGAAAACGTCGCCTTCTGCGGACTGGAACTTTCCATCGGAGAATGAAATAGCTTCTTTGTAATGGGCTTAAGATTGACTACCTTCCGCATCGGGGAATCGTTTTCCATCTGCAAATTTTAGAAAACCCTTATTCAGTAAATATATCCAATTAATTACCGGTAGTACTTTTCGTTTACAAATTTGTAATATTGCAACGTGATACTATGTCACTGAAGTAAATAGTGGTGTAGTTTTAATATTAGAAACATTAGAAGCAAATAATATTTCGTCGGTAAAAAGGAAGCTAAGATTTGTATATTAATTATAACTACATCAGCAATCATAAAATTTAACAAGTATTTAATTTAGAAAATAACAGAAAACAAGCGCAGACTTGAAACCCCTTCGCTGAATTGGCTAAAGAGCAATAAATACTAATAATAAGAATAAAAGTAATGATACGATGGACGTCTACCTGTTTTTTTTTTGTATCGTAAGACTTGTACCTGGTTTGCTTTATTTCTCAGAGCCCTATTCCGGTTACCGCAACCGAACGCTTCGTTTAATATCTTTAGAAAATCCCTTCTGTATTGTAGAAATAATAATATTGACATTCCAATCTCTGGTTATAGGTACCTAGTCGTTTTATACAACGCATGTGACTTATGCCCTTAATTGATCCTACGTTAGCGCAAATTAATCATACAAGCATACGCGTTAGCTAAGCAAAATGCAAAAATGTTTAGGTAGAAACGTAAAATTGTTATATCTTGTTACAAAATGTTAATTGTTTTTGTCCCAAACTTAACTTTAGCTCCAACAGTTAAATTATTTTTTCTATGAAATAAAAGTGACACCTACCTTGTCGCTGTCGGATACAAATTCCGTAGACTCGTTCATGATGTTATTTCTAATTAATACTGTCAAATGTTCTCGGCTAACAGTATTGACGGGAGTCGAAGTCAATGCCGCCATCTTGGATTCTCGCTATAAAGCACGAACGCCCGCTCGGTGCGAGGGCTCGAAACGAACTAATTGAGTTTGACATCCATTTCAGAGATGGGTCTCCATTTTGTGTCGCTAGTTGAGGATTTTATCTTCGTTGCGCTTATCGGCTGCGAAATCGGTGATATGATATGTTAACGAATGTATATGTATACGTTTTACAATTAGTAAATAAACATAGCCAATGTTATTATGTGAAAACATATTTCACATTTTTGTGATCCAGAAAAATCTATTCAAAAAGAAAAATGTTAAATTACATAGAATACCCGACTAGTAGCTAGTTGTAATACAGTCTACTCTCTTAAAAGATATTATTCAAAATATTGAATACCAGAAAGAATAAGAATTTGAATAAAAACACGCTTTGAAACTACTGATTATCGTTTCGCAATCTAAGCCCAAACGCGTTTGTGCTGTCGACATCCTAATTCAAATCCATTGCACCGTTTCTTATGTTACGGCACCGAAAGGTTTGGAGACTATCGTTCATAGTACTTAGTGCTACTCAAATCTTAACCAGCACTCGCATAGTGGAATTCTGAAAAAACACGCGAATATTATCTGTGGCCGCAGCTGGCACATTGTTCGTGTACACTTTCAAACGAATAATCTCTATTGTTTTATTACAAAAAGAATTTAAAAATATCTTTGAAACAATGCTTCAAAGCGCGGATTTAAATTCTTTTAAAATCGCACAAGTTTTGTGAAAGGTAGTTTCCTTCTGAGAATCGAAACGTGCGGTTGCTTTTTAAGTTTAACAGGTCAATCATAAATTTAGCCTTATTCAATTCCTATTCGGTAAAAGAACAACAAATATTTTTTTATTGCCGAATGTTTCGTTTAATTTGTGAAACGCTCGTTTCTGATGTCAGCTTCCGTAGCATTAGCATTGCGTTAAGCGCGAGAGGCGCTGGGTTCGAATCCCGGGGAAACAATGGATTTGTTGTCGGGCAGGGCACAGAAGTCTGTTCAACTGCTTGTCTGTAAAAGAACCGATCATTGAAACGGACACGGAAATGTGTTCGTGCCGCAAATGCGATAACGGAATTTTCTTTTTCGTCTCTTAATTAGGTAGGTAGTTCCTGAGGTAAATTGATAATATTTAGTTTGAACAAAGATTTTTGTTAATTAATCGTTATACCTAATCAATTGAGAGGAATAAAAGGATAGTGGATATAAAGCTAGCATTGATTGAAACAAATAACTTCTGTACATATTTATTGGCCCTCAAAAGTTGTATATTTTGCGTAGAAAATATCACATACAACTGTAGAGAACACAAACCAACATCAGATGTCCTACTCGTGTGTGACAACTCGTATGTATGCTCATTTTCTGAAGACTTATCAATTGGCAGACAATGTTATCTAAATTGCGTTTTTAATAATCAAACTGTAGGTAGGATTTCTAGCAATTGATCACGACCTCAGAAAGGATGGACCGACACCATGGTAAACATAACTTATCGAAAACCTTTTAACCGCTAAACTATAATTATATTATAAAAGTTATCAAGTACCTGAGGTAGACGCATTCGGCATATCGCTTCAAGTATAAAAATAGATTTAGCTCTTCTATATACTAAATTTATATAAATAACATAGACCCTGTTATTATTTCAAAATAAACAAAGATATAGTATTCAGAGCTTAGATAATGTACTAATGCACTACAAGTTAAATGATTCAGTTTGGATAAAAAGTGATATCGACTCTTCAGTGCATTCCTCGTAAGATACATTATCTAGTTCAGTTTTGCGCAACATAAGGATTACGCTTTCTTAAATAATCTTGTAATAGGACTAGAGGGCGCCACTTGAACTCTCGTTAAAAGTATAAATAGCAGCATTAGATAGATATTCACTTCGTAATTCTGAGTTGTCTTGGCTTTCAACGAGCCAGGGCGTTCGCTCGGAACTGAGCCACGGAGACAGTACAAACTCTTTAAAAAGCAAATTTCTAAAGTTGATATGTAGGATTCGCCGGCAAACTATTTTAGAAGTAAGAGTATTCCGGTTTCTTCTTGACCCGGTCGTAGGCGGTGCACAAGGAGTGGGTTAGAGAGGCGACGGAGGTGTTCGGTGACATCTTGAAGCTTTGGAAGAACACGTCGACGACTGCCGCGCTGCAACTAGTGCTGTTCGCCAAGTTCTGCTTGACCTGCTGAATCTTTTTTTGGACTTCCAACATCTCTTTGATCTTGCTCGAATTCATCCACTGCCGGATCTCCTCGTCGACGAAGCCGGTGGCCGCGAGTTCCGATTTCTGCTGCTGGCCGGAGCAAGTGCACTTGAGGTGGAGGCACACCAAGCACTGCTGCCGCTCGAAGGACTCGAGCATGTCGAGCAACTCCCTCCGTTTCTGTTGAAGGTTTTCATCCTGAAATCATCAAACAAACGAATCGTATATATAGTTCTATTTTAACTTTAGGATAGGTGCCCCGGTTAAATTAATCAAAATATTATAAGATTCAAAAACAATTGAAGATTTCTCGTGCCTGTGAATTTTCCGTGCGGCAATTCCTCTTGCATCAGCAATATGTCACTCGATTTAATAATCCTAGAATTACAATATTGCAAGTTGTTCTAATTTAATTCTATGAATATGTAAGTCATTCAATTTTGCTGATCGTTCGTAAATAAAAACTAGGTGTCGAAGGCTAAAGTCCTAGCTGTGACACGTAACATTACTGAATAACACTCAATTATATGAATATAGCTTACCAATTGTATCACTGCCTCGTGGTGATTCTTCGTCGCCCACATTTTCACTTCGCTGCAAACTACGACTAACTCGGGTAGAACTAGTGCACCTTTACGTTCGAGCGAAACGGAATAAGTGAGATGTACAGCTAATGTTATTGTCGCAGCCGAGTCTACTACCTACGAGATCTTTAAAAGTTACTTTCGACTTTAATGGAAGGCCTTAAGACTTCAAATCGAGTATCACTTCTTTTGTACGCTTCTCCTACCCGCTGCTTTTTATTATTGTTTAAACAGATTATTATTGAATAAAGAGTATTTTTTACTCGTAATTCATAGCAAATCTTTAAAACGTGTAATTAGTACAACTTAACTAAGGGCGCACGGTCAGCATAAAAACTCCTTATAATACCTTTATTTAGAATAACCAATTCCGGCATTATAATAATCTTCACCGATGTAATACGACAGAGTATTATTTGAAAGAGTGATAATCGCGACGCGTACATAGCACGAGCGAATGAGCCGGGGAGTCCATTCCGCCGCCGCGGAGCGATCTACAAGCGAGGCACGTCCTAGTTAAAAGCGCGAATTCCTGCAAATTCCCGACATCGCATCCCTCTCGCCGTAATATTTGTCGACGCCATATTAAGGCCCGCATTCCCCTCTATATTGAGGAGGACTTAGAACAATAAGGGAATTTAATGGGGAAAGTGGGTTATTCGATTTAGAGCGTTTATGTCTTTTGTCCCGATATTGCCTTCGGAGCCACGCTCGCGTCCTTTACGCGTTTTATATTATGCTCGATCCACTATTTCCGACTCGTTTACTCACTCTACGGACGTGGATTTTTTATTGTTAGGTTATATTTCAGTAGCGGACGGTACTTATATTGTGTGCGGAATAAGGTAGGGGCGGCCAATAAGGCCTAGCTAAGCAGGAATTAAAATAAATCAAAAACTGTTTAAACAAATCAACAAATTTTAATGTAATTTAATCTTTTATATTAATAACTATCAAATAAAAACGGAAAACAGCAACCTATGCTATAATTATATTCTTAATTACTGCTTTTTTAAAAACCACTGTACTTAGGCCTTACAAACTATGGTAGTATAATAAGGCCTAAAACTTTAAACAAAAATAAACGGAATAAACTTCTTATATTTAGTAATTGAGATCAATAAAACATTGTAATGCGATAATCACACAGTAAAGCTTAAAAATAACATTATTTTTTAAATTAGGAAAACTGGACACTCAAATCATGACGATCAGTTTAACTAAATATCGCGTTTTAAACCGTTAAAGTGTTTTATTTAAATGTGAACAATCGCGTACACTTTACAGCATCATTGACGACTCAAAATCATCCTCTGACAAACCCACGCACTCCTCGTAGTACCACTTGCTGCATTTGTGACACATCCTCATAGCAGTCTCTTGGTCCTGGTGGTACGCGTGACAATGTTGTTCTTATTAGACAGCCCTTTGCTCATTGGTGTTCCTCCTGGTGTAATTGATAGCCTTTATTATGACTGTTGGTGTCTTTTCTATATTTTTAGCTGGTGTAGGCAGGAATTGTTTAAATGATGTTCTTTTTACATGTGCGAAGGGTACATTATCCTCATCATCAGAGTTGGACCTACCGTAAACCATTCTGTAAAATATGTTGGATGATTTTTTTGGGGTATGATCATTTGTTTGTTCTTGCCTCGGTGTCGATGACTAAGGCGTCTCGGGAGACATTTGCCTAAGAGCGATGATGAATTTTCTACATCGACAACGTCTGGAACAGGAGCTGGTGCTTCTAATTTCTGTAATAATACTTCTAAAGACCTAAATTATGTAATCTCTTGATAATAGTTTAAGGAGGGTAATAAGGCCTAGGGTCGATTTTCATAGGCCTTATTAACCACCGACCGCGTTGTCAAGAAATTTTTTAATTAAAATGATTTCGTGTAATTTAAAATTTTTTGTACAGCCCAGATCTTCAAAACATTAACTAAAATAATGTAAAACTGCAAAATAACGTAGATTTTTTTTTCATAAAATACTTATGATTTGTTCGACCGTTATATTTTAATATTCGAGATATGCGTCCGCCGGCCACGATGAGTGACCCCACACTCTCGGCAGCATGCGGGCCTGCGAGTCGCGATATGTTTGGGGAACCATCTTGGGTTGTTAGCTACCTATGACTGTGAAGTCAGCTGGCGGGGTCTACTCAAAGTTATGTTTCTAGTACTTAGGCCTTATTACCCGACACTAATTTAATATATTTTTTTAACAATATTTGATGGCTCGGTAACCTGGTGGACCTTTGATCCATATCTATATATAAATAATATAAAGCTGGAGAGGTTGTTGATGTCCGCGACATGGCCATTTTTTATACTATATGTCAATTTTTATACATAAGATTAACTCGCAAGTACGACGAGACAGGACGCGACAATGATGTCGGGTAAGCTATAATTTAGAATGTAGTAGAGGTTTGCAAAAACAAATTTTGACTCCTAAAATAACTATTTTACGCGGAAAGAATAAAACCATACATGCGTAACAACCTTACGGTGCTGCAGTAGGGTAGCTTAAGCGTTTATTAAGGTGTAAATGATTTTATGTTGAAGTGGAAGTGTCCGAAGAATGCCCGAGTCATCCGGAGGCATCCAGGTCGCAGGGTTGGACCATCGCCTCACGTAGGACATTCCTGGGCGTCTGAGCTCACTCGTGCCGTCTCGACGGATCGATGCCTGTCGATAGACAACTATATACAAATCCCATCCTTGTGAATGCATCTCTCCTAAAGCTCTCCTTGTGCACCGCACCTAGTTATAAGACACCAACTTTCAGTGTGATTTTGAAAATTTTATAATTCTATGTCAATTTTAAGTGTACGTTACTAAGCTCCTATTATAAATAAATAGTACATTATGATATAAGTGTGGTAAGTTGAAAATTACAGCCGAGGCGATATTACTACAATAAATTATAACCATTTATAACAAAACTATAACAAAAACACAAAAACATTAATTTACTTTATTAGTTCTGCTGGCTGTTTTTGTACCTTTGCCTAAAAAAAAACGTTGATGCGCGCGCATCGCTTATTTGTGGACAAGTACAAATTTTTATGACTGCTTAAACAAATAATTAAAGATTTATTCGTTTAACTAAGTTTGGGGTTTAATAATTTCCTCGTAAATATGTTATAAAACGCCGTATGACATACGTGCGCTTTGAAAATTACAGCCTCTGCTTTCGTATAGCCCTCGGCAATGGCTCGGGCTAGTAATATCGCCTCGGCTGTAATTTTCAACTTACCCCATTTATATCATAATGTACTAAAAAAAAATACGTGGCTTTTACATTACATTATCGCACAAGTACGTAATGAGATACATTACGATATTGAAATTGGTGTAATTTCAACCACTTTACGAGCAAATATGTTATTAAATAATATAATTAAAAAATCGAAAATAAATTGAAAACTTTTCGACTCGGGCAGGACTTGAACCGTCAGCATTCCGTGCTGTTGTTCTACCAATTGAGCTACCGAGTCCTACACCTCAGCGTCGAATTTATTTTCAACTTATTGATACATGCACCTCTCGCGCAATGTAATTTCAACCTTAACATTTGAGTATTAAGGTTCAATGTCTTATTCTTTGCAGTTTAAGAAATCATTGAAGATGATATTACAAAAAAATTTCACATGTTATTGCACATGAAGGCACTATATAATTTAAAAATCGAAAATAAATTGATAAATTTTCGACTACATGTGAAAAATATTAATGTTTTCAAATAATATAATTATTGTTACGAGTGAGTTTTCGACGAAATCGCTGCATTAAACATTTTGTATATTATGATTTATCATATACAAAATGTTTAACGGTGCCGGAGAAAATCTTACTGGTTTTTGGACTTCTATCCAAATATTCATTATAATGACATAAAAACCGCAAACCGATTTCTCCAAAATTTTGTGTTTTGGCTCAAGCAAAATCCGGCATTTATTACAACCATTCTGTCACTACTGTGGTTTGTGGAAAATTGTCGTTATCGACACAAGTGTCTCGCGTGGAAAAACGCTTCCCGCTCCTTGCAGCGGCCAATTGAAAACCGATTTTCATTTCACAGGCAATTTACTCGTCGCCATGGCAACGTGCGTGTATTTCTAGTCTTACATGAAGGTGCTTGCATTTAAAGTATCTTGCTTTAAAACTTACATTTACAGATTGAAAACCCTCGTGGTACTTGTGTTGAGATACACGATAATAGCAATGAGTACCTATTTCACGAATTGTGCGCCCTTCCCAGTGGCTTTTTTATCTTCGTTCAATGTTCTCCTGAATGATGAATTCGAAAGCCATTTATTAGCATATGGATTGTACTCGTAAATGATATAACCTCAAAATGAACTGTTACTGTCATAAAAGTTGCCGGTAGTATAGTGGGTACACATAAAGCCCGCTTCAGGCAAATTAGTCACCCCATAAAGCGACAGCATTATGGCCAAGTATCGAAGCAAGTAATCCGACGAAAGCATCCACCTTGCAGCTGCCCAAGGACGATAACGCGCTCCAGCGAACCGCCCTCGCAGCCATCGCTTCTGTGACCCTGCCTACGCCGAAGCTATCGTTCTTTAAAATATCGACTATTTCGTACTTGACAACATATTTCCACAATTGCTCTTCTATACTTCTATATACTATACTAATATATAAAGCTGAACCGTTTGTTTGTTTGAACGCACTAATCTCAGGAAGTACTGGTTCGAATTGAAAAATTCTTTTTGTGTTGGTTAGAGCATCTAACGAGGAAGGTAGACTATAACACATTGCGATGTGACTAATAGGAGCTAAGATACAGAGAGAAATGTGAATAAAACGAGGGTAATTTTTCATCTCTGTAGGTGTCGCATCTCAGATGCGTACGCTGCGAAAACGGTTCAAGACACTTAAAAATTGTGTATGAAAGAATGATTCCCCTTTAAATGATCTAAAAAAGTCCGCGACGCTATACGTCTATCTTTTAAGATTAACTTGCAA